TCAGCAGGGAGGTTGCTTGAATTAGGAATCCCAGCCAGGGCTCCCCAGCCCGATGGTTCTGAAAGGGAGATGTGAGCCTTTGAAAGCACTGATGGGAAGCCCTGGGAGGCAGAGCCTCTGTCCTCCAAATGACGAGCTACCTCATGGGGAGACCTGTCGTGTTGCCAGAAAACCCTGGCTGAGGTAAAGACAGAGCCAGCAGGGGAGTAGCAGAGGTGTCTCCGTGGCCCCAAGCCTAGTTGATCTTCCAGTCTAGGGTTTTGAGAATCAGGAACAAATTGCAGGGTAACTGAAAGAGAATTGGTTGGATTTGGATCCAGAAATGCTCAACTCTGGTCTGCCGTGTCTATGCTGTGTGACCATGGGTGAATCACAATCCCTCTCTGACCTTCAATCCCTTCATCAGTGGAATGGAAGTCTCATGGGGTGATGTAAAGAGGTGACAGCCATGAGGTAGAAAGCCCTTGAGAAACACTGTTCTCCCATCTCACAGTCAGAACATGAAGGAGATGGGCCGAGCGTTTGCAAGCCTTCTTGAAAGTTCTCTGCTTCTGTGATCCAAGCTGCTCCATTTGGAGCCACCACGGGTGCTTATCAATCAAGCGTCGGGGGTTTCCAGTTTAGAAATGAAAAACGCAGCTTCCTGCCCTACCCCCTTCCCCCAGACCACTCTTCTCTCTGCTGGCCCCTCACCAGAATGAACTGAAATCCCATCCAACCGAGAGATGCTGATTGGGATGTACTGGAGTTCAGCTCTGGATGCAAATGGAAAATACTGGGGATCCCTAGGGACCAAGAAAAGCATTTTAAACCTGGTCCTTGTTGCCTCGCACTGACTGTCAGTTTTGTAAGACCCTCCCCTCCGGAGCTGGCCTATTAAGCCGCTTCTCTGTTGCCAGGGTTGAGGCAGACTGTCACCAGCTAACCTGGGAAATGATATTTATAGATCACAGTCCCTCCTACCCCGGGTCCCCAGCCTCTCCCTGTGCACTTGTCCATGAGCCCCAATTATCTGTGAATGGAGGAGAGGGACCCTGGCAGGTCCAGAGGAAGCAAGGAATGTGATAATAGGCCCTTCACAAGCTCAAACTTTCTGTGTTTTTCCATTATCTCAATTCATCTCTCTTTGGGTGGCTTGCTTCCCCCTTGTCTGACTTATTGTAATAATTTCACCTTGTGGTTCACAGCAGAAAGTGCACCCATGCCAGAGGTAGGGTCTGGGGCTTGAATGTGGAGTGACTGCGTGATCATAGACAGGTTATCTCATGTCCCGAGAACTCTTTTATCTTTATCTGTAACACTGAGACAGGTACACATGTTGCTCAGGGGACGTGGGCACAAAGAGCCTCTAGCACTCTGCCTGTTGTACAGTGAGTGCTCAATAGCTGTAAGCCACAGACTCCCCCAGCTGGATCAGGGTGCCACCTGCAGTTGAGCCTTGCAGAGTTGTGACTTATTGGTTATCATTCAGAGCACTGCCTGGAGATGGAGAAGGTATAGGGGATTGTTCACATTGATGCCAGTTTCACATTACTGGAGTTTTCTTGTGTTAAAAACAAATACACCAAAAAAAATGATATGAGCTTTTTATTTTCTGGGTATAATCTCAAGATGAAATATTGAAAAGCAAAGAAGTGCTCACTGACCTTGGGAGTCAGGGCTTCCTGGTAACCTCGGTCCCTCTCTGATCCGGGACAGGGATGAACCACTAGCCCACTCCCAGGCGGTCCATCCAATGTCCACACTCACTGAGTCTGTGAGTTCTGACCAGCAAATCTCAGCAGAGTGTTTCTGTTTCTGGAACTGCCTACTCTTATTGAATCCCTTCACCTTCTGCCCTTCCAGTGGCTCTGGGTAGCCCCTTCTGCTCATCGGCTCCACCTGCTCCCTGTCACTCTGTCCCCAAGTACTTTCCCCTTCTCTTACCACCCATCCCCAGGCCCCACCTTTTTCCTTCGTCTTCCCTGCAGCCTTGCGCTCCGGGCTCCCCCTGAACACCACCTCCTTTCCAAGCCCTCGAGCTGTATCATTAATGCCTTCTTTGATGCAGCCCACGACCTCATGATTATTCTGAGGTCAGGAGATGCAGGTGCTGCGCAGCTCCCTGAGGCCTCTCAGAGGGCCTCTGTCCGCCACCCCTCCTGCTCGACAGGGCTAGAATCCTAATGGGCCACTGGCCCCACTGCTCCCTGCAGCATCACCAGGAACTTTCATCTTCCTATGTCCCCCCTCCCGAGGATTCTGAGAGCGTAGCCACAATGAAGCATTGATTCAAGGAGTGGGGGCTGCGGCCCCGACAAAGGGTCCCAATGATGAGACACGGGAAAGGGGGCGCTCTACGGGGTTATAGAATGCCTTGCAGATGGGGACAGAGGAGCTCTAAATGGGGTACTGTCCTGTCACTTGGAGAGGGAGTGACAGGAGCAAGTGTGGGCCATTTGAAAGAGGCATTTTGAAATGACGCTCTTGTCAGATGGAATCACGCAATCAGAGCCGCGTGGAGGGCCCCTGCAGCTCACAAAAATATCAGATGACTCATACCCCAATATTCAGTCAATGTTCTGGTTTGGGAGGTGAGAGCCACACAGCTCATTATTATTCCAGCTCCGTGTTCCTGAAGGCTGGGCCTGCTGCTGTTCTCCAGGCTGTAATGGGATTGGTCTCACGAAGCAGAGACCAGGGAGGCCTGGAGCGGTGTGGGCGGATGGTATGAAAAACTGATCCTGCAGTCCTGGGTGGGGGGGGAGACAGGGAAGTTTGTTTTTCTTTTTCTTTCTTTAATTTTTAAGTGAAAAATATTAATAAGCTTTGTTCATTCATTCAGCAAAATTCATTTGTTCAGCAAAGGTTTATAGAGCTGGGCTCTGGGCTGGGTGCTGGGGAAGGAGAGGCCCCTCCTCTGAAGCCTAAGAGCCTGAAGGGAAACTGAGGAGAAAGGGTGGGGTCCCAAGGCCACTGTCTGGGGTGCTGTAGGGTGGTCTTGTTGCCAAGGGCAGGAAGGGTTCTATGAATTTAAAAGGCAGAGTGTTTCCAAAAGCTAATTATTCCTCCATTTTCTCTCAGCTGATAAGCCACTTATTTGAAGCAAAGCATGCCAGGAAGCCATTTCAACAGTATCCATTTTCAAATGGATATTACAAAATGGCTTCCCTCAAACCCGGGAGAGATAGCGGCATCCTTGAGAGTGTCTCAGTGCCTTCAAAGGAAACGCTTATTCTCTGGGATAAGAGTACTTTTTATTACTACCTTTTCCATAATTGCTCAATACCAGGCTTTTCTAAGCTCTTTAAATATATTATCTCACTGTATCCTCTCACCAGCCACATGAGATGGGCTTTATTATCCCTGCTGTAGATATGGATACTGAGGCCTAAAGAGATGAAGTGACTTGCCCCCAGCGCCATAGCTGAGCTTAAACTCAGTTCTGCTTGGGTCCATAGCCATGCTTTTTGGGCACCGGGCTCCACTGGCTCCTGGTACTCATGCTTTGGTCATTGTGGATCATCAGTGCAGGGATAGCACATGTGGTCTGCTAACACTTCCCCCCAAGGGTCCAATGAGGTAAATCGGCTCCTGTGTCCAGCTTCCTAAAATGAAGATCCTGAACCACAGACACCACCACTGTCACCATCCACATCACCACCATGCGTGGGACCTTAAGAAAAGTCTTCTTGACCCTTGATTGACTGGTCCTGCCAAAAGCAACAACGAGGAGCCGAGAGCTGCCTGTACTCATCACATGAGTTGGAATCCATCACTTTCCGTCTGAGTTTCTGTTGCCATGTCTATAAAACAAACCTGACAGTCCCTTTGCAGGAATAATAAGAGCTAAATTTTATCGGGCTCTTAATACCTACCAAGTTTGAAGCTAAGCCTTCGTATAAAAATTTATGTAATCCTTACCACAGCCCCATGCTGTGACTGGAGGGCGAGGGGCACTGCCCAGCATTCCTCAGCTGATTGTGGAAGAGTCAGGGTTTTAGGAAATCTCTCAATGGCCTCCAGCCTTAGGCTGTTTTGGGGGTGTTGTTGTGAGACTCAAATAAGAAGATCGAAGTGACTGCATCCCGTGCAGGGTAAAAAGTGCTAGACACATGTAAGGAATTATTTGTGGCATGGAAGGCAGCCAAGAGGTGACTTGCACAAAAATGAGGAAAGATGAGAGGCCTCCAGGCTGACTGTCTTGTGTATTTGTACCCGTTCTCCTGTTGCTTCTTATCTGAGCATATATCCATCTTCATTGGAATCGGGGTATAGATTCTGGTATCATTTATAGTGCTGAGGGGCAGAGGGGCCTAGAGATGCATGTGACATTGGAATGCCACTGAACTGAGAATTTGGAGCTCTGGGGAAATGGCTGAAATAACAGCTTTCTTGCATGTTTTGAGAAAATCACTGTGAGAATCATGCAAGGTCATCAGGATGGGGGCACCACATGATTTCAAGAATATGACAAAGTATAATTTGGTTTTTGTTGAAGTTGTTGAATGTTATATAACCCTATTGGATCACTGTGTGGAAGGGGTTGAATCATCTGATATGGATTAAAAGAAATAACCCCAAAGGTCCTTTCCATGACTCTTATTTATTTATTTATTATTATTATTATTATTATTATTATTATTATTTTTACAATTTCTTGTCATCCATTTAGAGTACTTGTGTTTAGATACTTTTATTTCCTAAATAATACTTCTTTGGGGCTATTGGATTGGAATCATAGAGCTGAGGGGAATTCCCCCAAATTTACTCCACCTCCTGTTTACAGATGAAGACATTGCATATTATGAGAACAGTAAGGTGTGATGTCATAGAGCTGGTTTGTGGCACTGGAGCCACAATTTAGTCATTGCAACTTACATTCAATGTTTTTCCAGTTATAACTTCTCCCCCCAGTCTAGTCACTCTTTGGGTGGCTCCAATTTCTATTATCATTTGTACAGAGCAACTCAGACCCCCACCAAGTGGTTAATGTACTCCATTTTTCCTCTATTCCCCAGGACAATTCAGCAGTGGCTTGCAAGGGTCCAGTCTCTTCTCTACTGCAACGAGAACGGGTTTTGGGGAACCTTCCTGGAGAGCCAGAGGAGTTGTGTGTGCCACGGTAGCACCACACTTTGCCAGCGCCCCATCCCCTGCATCATAGGAGGGAACAACAGCTGCGCCATGTGCAGCCTGGCCAACATCTCCCTCTGTGGCTCCTGCAACAAAGGCTACAAGCTGTACCGAGGCCGCTGCGAACCACAGAACGTGGACTCTGAGCGGAGCGAGCAGTTCATCAGCTTCGAGACCGACCTGGACTTCCAGGACCTGGAGCTGAAGTACCTGCTGCAGAAGATGGACTCGCGCCTCTACGTCCATACCACCTTCATCAGCAACGAGATCCGCCTGGACACATTCTTCGACCCTCGGTGGCGCAAGCGCATGTCCCTCACTCTCAAGAGCAACAAGAACCGAATGGACTTCATACACATGGTGATCGGCATGTCCATGCGCATCTGCCAGATGCGCAACAGCAGCCTGGACCCCATGTTCTTTGTCTATGTCAATCCCTTCAGCGGGAGCCACTCCGAGGGCTGGAACATGCCCTTTGGGGAATTCGGCTACCCTCGTTGGGAGAAGATCCGTCTCCAAAACAGCCAATGCTACAACTGGACTCTCTTGCTGGGCAATCGGTGGAAAACGTTTTTTGAGACGGTCCACATCTACCTACGTAGTCGGACTCGGCTACCTACCCTGCTGCGGAATGAGACTGGCCAGGGCCCCGTGGACCTGTCTGATCCCTCCAAGAGGCAGTTCTACATCAAGATCTCGGATGTGCAGGTGTTTGGGTACAGCCTGAGGTTCAACGCCGACCTCCTGCGCAGCGCAGTGCAGCAGGTTAATCAGTCCTACACACAGGGCGGCCAGTTCTACTCCTCTTCGTCGGTGATGCTCCTCTTGTTGGATATTCGGGACCGAATTAATCGCCTGGCCCCTCCGGTGGCCCCGGGGAAACCCCAGCTGGACCTGTTCTCGTGTATGCTGAAACACCGCCTGAAACTGACCAACAGCGAGATCATCAGGGTGAACCACGCACTGGACCTCTACAACACCGAGATCCTGAAACAGTCGGACCAGATGACAGCCAAACTCTGCTAACGCGGGACCCCGGGCCATGGACTGTCCCTTTTGTTGTACAAACACAACAGAACAAAGCAAAGCTAAACAAAACACAAAAATTTGTAAAATGTAATTAATGTTCAAAGAAAAGGAGGAAAAATCTTCATTTGTTGGAAACTAAAACGTTCTAGCAACTGTATAAAAACCGTTGGGCATGTTTGTTACTTCTATACTCTGTCATGAAGAAGGGTCTCAGCCTTCGGTGGAGCTTTGAGGGAGTGGCTCGGTAGGCCTCAGGTGCTGTCTGGAGCGGGGAGAGGGAGAGCTTATGCAATGAATTGTAAAGATCTCTGCTGTGCAGGTGCTAAGATTAAACACTAAAGAGAGAGAGAGATATGTAATGTACAACTGACACTGCCATTTTTCCTTGTGGGAGGAAATGGACATAGATAAAGAAGATATTTCTTCGGTTAAGATTTCTTCCCTCTTTATGCTTATTTCCTTGTGGTTTTTTTTCTTTGACTCATTCTCAAACAGGGGTGGGGGGATGCAATGACACTACTTTCTTACTCATATGGCTTCTTTTCTTCTCAATAAATGGAAACTGATGCAAGTTGGCCAGCAGGTGAGCTTGGGAGGAGACACATTCACATAAACACAGGGCGAAAAGTAACCTCAGATATTAGTGCAGGAAACTCTTTAGTTTGGAAAATAGGTACCAGGGGGCATGGCATACCCATTTTAACACCCACAATAACTGCCTGAATTGAGTTTGAATCCTGCTTTCTGATGCCCTTAAATGTGCAACTTCTTACAAAACACACTGGCCACTTTTGTGTTTTCCCCTTCAGCAAAGCTTCCAAGGGATGAAATGTTCTGTTTGATAGTCATTCTGTGCATGTGAAGAGGTTCCTCCTGCTACTTTCACCAAAAAGAAATAGGGTAGTGTCAGATTTCCTACAAATGCATTCCATATTAAAGTCTTAGTTTGAATAAAATCAAGGGCCATAATTTAAAAAAAAAAATAATGTAAGTTTTAACATTGCTTTGTTTACCATTGTTCGGCCACACAAGCTTCCTCAAGTATCTAAAATAATTTCATTTCATTAACACTTAATACACATGGGTATGTACCCACACTCACCTGGCCATCTACACAACAGCATAAACACTGCCACTTCTCTGGCATCTGTGAAAAGTGAGAAGCCATGTGAAGGATTTGAGGTTGAACAGAAATGACTAAAGGAAGAAAGCTGATCTCAAAGCACTTTTGTAGAGGATTTGGGTAGAGACTGCTTCTTAGACTCTAGGGTTCGCCATTCATCCTTTTGCTAGAGGTTGCTCATAAGAGGTGCATCCCAACCATCTGGATCCTTATTTCTGCATTGGCAGCAAACTCCAGAATCACAAAAATTTAGAGTTGGAAGAGAAAATAGGATTACTTTGGTTTAAGCTTCTGCCCAGCGCAAATTTCTTCTTCATTGCTGTTGGGAAGTCACCACTGTTCCCTGATTGGACCATTGAGGGGACAGGAAGCTAATTAGTCCTCTTTTCCATTTTCCTTAAATTCTTCTTTTGCAGAAGGGAAGCAGTAACTCTCATTCCAGCTTACATTATAAAACAAAGCTAGCAATTAGAATTTCTTTCCATACATTGACCATCTTGCATACCTCCAGTTATGGAGGGTATATTTCTCTCCCACATTAATGCTATACTAGATAAAATTCAGAGACTTGTCTTTGAAGTCTCTTGAGTTTGTGATAGTATAATGGAAAGAGAACACCATCCCTCATGTACTTTATATTAAAGTGAAAATGGAGGACTTCAGTGCATAAGAGGTAAAGTATTATCCAATTCAAGTAGGGGTAGTTTTTTTTTCCCCAGAATGCTAAATCCCAACTTTAATGTTCTCATTTTTAGTATGAATTAGCATACATTTTATGACATCTTTAACAATTAGTGTGCACTTCACACCTACATAAATTTTGGGCTTTGGCTTTTAAGAGGGTTCAGTGTTCATTTAGTGTGGAAATCCTTTGCCAGAGATCACATCACAGTTTATCTATCAAGCACAAGATTTTGCGAATGGCTAGTAAATCATCAAATCTTTCTTAAGCACCTAATAGTGGCAGGATAATACCAAAGGTATAAATATTTGTAAGTAAATGGTACATGCCTTGTGCTACTTAAAAATAATGAAACACACACGCACCCATACGCACACACACACAGAGACACACACACACACACACACAAACCTATTACAAAGAACAATACTGAGACAATACTCCAAGACTAGCTATCATGGAGCCAGGCACAGAGAGAGGCATGAGTTTGGAAAATAGCTTTACAGAAGGGATATGTTTCTGAGAGTTGAGAAATGATCAGGAGTTGGACCAAAAGACAGGAACGGAATGACCAAAGAAACCATGAATACAAAATCACAAATGTATTAATAGGCCACTTAAGGGCATGGGTCCTAATATTACTTTTTTAAAGTATCATTTTAAGTAGTAAACCTACCAAGTGGAATGAGGATTGTGATCTGATAAAAGGATATAAGACCATCATCCATAACCATTATGACCTGAAGAATGAATTTCAGACAGTTCTGCAGTTGCCCCCCCCCAACTTTTCTCCTTCATCTCCACCTACCATGCACATCCCTGGATTCCTAATGTAACAACTCTTGTATTTGCTCAATACTTTACAGATAGACACACAATCTCTAACTGCACTTACTTCCTAAGCCTCATCACAATTTAATTAGGACTTTCAATCTGAGTTCTTCACCAGATTCCACCAACTGAATGTTTGGGAAAAGCCTTTGCTCTTCACCTTGAAAGCATTAACTCAATCCTTTCACGTGAGAGAATACAGCCATGTCTAGTGATTGGAAAGGTCATAAACATAGAGAGAATTTCAAGGAGAAACATTCAGACATCAGAAATTTATTCTTGGGTAAGAGAAAAATACTTTGCTATGAAGGGCCACAAAGTTCTGTGGATTTCCAAATGCTTCTTTTTGGCCCTGTGAACTAACAGGGTTCCTCTCTACCTGGGAGGAAGAGAAACCTGGAGGCTTCAAGTGAGATTTTAATTCAATTAGTGTCTTACCAATTGGATGCAGCACCAAGGACCTGCAGTCTCTGATTAATATGCTGATGCTAAGACACAAGAGTGAACAGAATGCCCATTTGGATAAGGCCTGGCAGCAAAGCATGCCATTGCCATGGAAACCACAGAAAGCCATTAATTAGCTATCAAGTAAAATCATTGGAAAATTCTGGACCCTGATATATCTGCCCCTATTAAAGAGAAGGGCAAGAAGAGGGTCACACTAACAGTAAGGCTCCTTTTGGCGGTTAAAATCATAGTCACAAGAGACTACATCTTGCTAAGTGGAGAAAAGATTGGCATATAAAACAAATGGACACAATAAAAATGAAGATTTGGGATTATTCAAGTCCAAGAATATAATTTGGAATGTGCGATGCTTGTTGGGGTGTCTATATTGATAAAATTATCTCCATGGAAAACATTTTTATCCTATTATCTGTTCTTTGGAATGTAAGTGATAATAATAAGAATCCACTAGATGGTGATAAATGATCAGGGGAAGAGATCATACCACCAAAGGGCGAGGAGTGATTAACCCCTAATATAATAGATGCAGATCGCATAACTTTCAAGTTAATAGAGGAAAAATTAAAAATGGAGAAGAAAGCAGAAAAGAAAAAATTAAAATAACTGAACATATATAAACAGACACAATAACAAAGCTTGCTACATAGAAAAATCACAATAAATGTAACTGGATAAAACTGATCAGTAAAAAAAGCAGGTTGTCAGATAGGAAATCGCAAATTATAAAACAGGTTGAAAATAAAACATGCCAGACATAATAAATAGAAAGAAAGCCAATTTAACACGGTTAATGACAGTTAACATAGATTTTAAGGCCACATACATGATTAAGGTTAAAAATGGTCCATTTATCAGGAGGAATGAACAGAAAATCAAATACATAGAATTGAAGATTCTTAGGGCTAAAGGGGTCTATAAAGATGTTTAAAACGTCAGCTTTCAGAAATTAAGGACGTATATTCAAAGTTATTCTACAAGCTTTGTACACTGACTATAAAGTTTAGCTCCCTTTCACCATTTCAGAATGAAAGGTTGTGTAGCTCCATCGCCATAGCAACACAAGAATCAGCCCCTGACTTTTCACCTAATGTGTTATCCAACTTACGTGCACAAAACATAATTCTGTCTCTCTGTTTCTCCCTCTCTGTCTTTTCCTCTCTCCATTTCTTTTTCTTGAAATCAAAATCATATACACGGGCATTTTTCCATTAAGGATCAGTCAAATCCTTAGATGGATAATGACCTCAGGTAAAGTGAAGGTCACAATCCTCCTGGAACCTGCATACTATCAGTAGCTCTGGTCTTGCCAATCCAAAATTCCTAGAAGGCAGAGATTGCCTGAGTGAAGTTTTCAATCTCTATTCTTTCTCTTTCCAAACTATGCTAAGAGCCTATAGTTACAAGCATAAGGTCATTCTTTGCTTTTCAGCATCTCATCTGTCAACATTGAGTCAAGGCATATGGTGCATTCTCTGACCATCTTGGCTTGAAATTCTCCTTTCCTTCCAACCAACTCAGAAATCAAGAATGATGCAAGGGATGGAATGGAATAGATCTGAATCATGGACCAGGAAGTGCCTCATGTTTATTACATGAATTTATATAATTTTGGGGAGGAATTACAGGTCTCTTTAATTTTACTTAATTTGCAGGGAGTTACATATCTCTTCAAGAAATGTAAAAACTCTGGGATTTTTCCTAGTAAAAATGTGCCCTGGCATACATTTTGAGCACTATTTCACAGACCCCTTAATATTATATCTTGAACATTCTGAAATGCTACACACCTTGGGTCGGCATCTCCAATCCAGTCTCAACCATACATATAGTTCCCTTTTAACCATCTCAAGTAGAATTGTCCTAGGATCACAAATCAAGTTCATGTAGCCATTCGTACAGCACCATCCTGTCCTCAAGCAGTCTTAAGGTAAAGATAAATCTCTTGATAGGAATATGGTGCTCACTTTAATAAATCTCACTCAACATATGCTAGATCTAAATTTGTTGAGAAGGTATTTTTTTTTATAAGTATCAACTAACAGATGCTTCAAAATTAAAACATAACAAGCTAGTTTAGAGGATGAAGAGCAATGCACGGGTAAGTGTTGCTTCTTGAATAGACAAGAGAGTCTAGGTCATCAACCCTGGTACAAGGGTGGACATGCAGTTTGAAACAGAGTCTGCTAAATCTGTAAAAGAAAAACCTCCGTTAAGCAGCTTGGATTAAGCAAGTGGATTTCATGAATCAAAAGTCGAGTTAAAACACAGAAAATTCCTTGTTGGTAGGTCTCTACTGAAGCTGCCTTGGTTTCATCCCAGGAACAGTCCTTCCCACAGACAATACAAAAAGACTCTGATACTGTTATGACTGCACAGTCCTGATGGAACTTCTAAATGGAATCATTTATCCCAAGAAGAGAACAGCTCTCGTATACATTTTGAATAGAAGCTTAATGGCTTATGATAAGGAGAAAGAAGGGGTACCCACGCTGCAATTCTAAATTTGAGTGTTGACATCATAGAAGATGACTACCCATGCCCCACGTGCACCACATCAACTAATGATTCCTGCCAGCTTTATCCAGGGATGGGAGACTGGTCTGACATTGCCACAGGTCTGAATAAGGAAGGAAATCATAATGCTCTCATAAATTAGGGAATGATTATAAACAATGCTGAGAGTTTGTTCATTATATGATGTTATTTTTGATACATGATTAGAAATTAATGTAATGTCACCTGTTACTCCTCTAGTGCCCCAAAGGGTTTTGAGCTAAAAGGCTTGGCCCAAGCACTGGAGTTTCCTCGATTATCAGGCCACCAAAGAACAGAATTAGAACTCGAATTTTCTAATTCCCAGGTTAGTGA